ATAAACTAAGTTCATGGAGCAAAATATATACATGCATTTAACAATTAAATGGCGGAGATATGCTTATATGCACTAAAAAAAATAAAACCTACTCCATGAAATTCAAAGCCTAGTAGTGTGGTGAACCAAAGACTCAACTCAAATTCAACAAAGATAGTTAGATTTGTTATACCTATGTATATTCCTCTTTGCATACGTAAAGGCTAATCACCCAAGAGCCCTTCATTCCTTTGCTTTTTGGCTCCTTGGATATGTGTTGGAATAGGAATCTCCATGAGTCACCAAAGTAGGTGGCCTCCAAATCTCTTCACCGAGCTTGATTTGGAAGAAGATGAGATAACCATGAAGGGAGAGGTTTGCTAGCAATCTCTCACCATGATGGCCAAGTTTTCTAGAGCGAAGAAGAAGAATGGTGGCTCTCCATCATTCTCTTTGCTCTCCAAAACCTCTAAGTTGGATGGAGTTATAAAGTAGCTTATATAGGGGAGTGACAAGTGTGAAACCCAAGCCATTCAACCCTCCAAAACTGGCCATATAGGCTCCTTGGACCTTTTGGGCTTTCCCACTTAAGTTCTCATGCAAAACTTGAGTTATAAGCCCAATGCCTCAAGGCCCAATGGGCCTTGGGTACTAAAACCCACTTTTAAGGCCCAATATGACATTGTAAGTGCGTATAATTGATTAACTAATTTAAACAATTTAACCTAGTCAATTAACTAATTTAATTGATCTCAACATCTTTACAAGTTTCCCAAAACTTAAGCTTATCGGTATACGATCTATTAGTTCTAATTAGCGAGCTAGTGGGTGACTAGAACTCATACTCATTGATTGTAAATTGAATTACTTTACGATTCTCTCTTTAATGAAGATTAGTTAATATTAATCTTCAGGACTTCCACAAACTATGAGTGACATCTAACAATATGTCACGGCTACCTAAGCTAAGTGGAAGAGGTGGAGAACTTATTAAGTTTGGGATTACAATGCAAGACTATCCTTCTCTATATCAATACTCTTGAACATATTGTTTGGTTGATAATTTATTCATGTCTACTATCCAATGTCATTCTCTTGTCTATATTATTACTTTGAAATTAAGTGATTTGGAACATATTTCCAAAATCTTATTCATGCACTCCAGTAAGAGATTCTTAATCACATCATAGAGTATTATCCCTCAAAGGTTTGAAGGTTAGAGATCCCTTATTGTACACTCACATGTCTCTATGAATAAATCAATGACTCAATAATGCTATGAATAGGCCCATGATGAGGCATGGTCTATGTTACATTGTCAAATGATCAAAGACGTGCCCATAAGGCAACTGTGGTGTCTCAGTTCTAAAGACTACTTTGCATTATCCCAGCTAGTGAGTTTTCATATGATATGAGTTGAGAATTCTTGGTTGATCACGATCAGTGGACCCACAGTCTTTTGAGCACCTATATACTTGTCTTGGTGTCTATCACACCAATTACTTGAGACCAATCACTCTCCAGGGAGAAGACATATATAGTATGTACTGATCTATCCGCATTGTTAATGCCCAATTGACAATCCTATGATTAGGATGTTTAGCATATATGAATGAAAGAGAAATGTCTCATGAATCTAACAGCTTTAGATCATGCATTCTCTTTATTACATATTTCTTGAACTTATTGTTTAAACGTATAACAATTTAATGAGACACCTTTAAACAATAATCCTTGTCTTTGTTTAAAATAGATTAGTTTAATATGTGAAATGTCTATAAATATCATCTCATAACTGCCTTTAGGGTACAATTCCAACTGTTATAATTGTCAATAAGTATAAAAATATGCAAGATGACGCTCAATGAATCCTATTTAAGATATACAACATGTATTAAGGATAAATAAGTCAGCAAATAATATTCAGTTACGTATTGCAAAAAATTCCATACTATAATAACAGTATAACTCTAAGACACAAAACACCATGTCCTTATTGGTAGGAAAAAATGTAGCCTTTTGCACTAAAACCACTTTATTTCTTGAAACCTGTGGAGCGGTACTTTAAAAATGGATACAAACCCTATACCATGTTTAGATTGCTGGCACCGAGTTGTATCAAGTTGTGCGGTTATCTCTTTACCAAAAGAAAAAAAAGGAAAAAAAATAAATAAATAATAATATTGTGCTGTTATCTTGGAATGCACGCAATATCGTGTACGAAATTAGAAAGAAGATGAATTCAAGCTAGAGATTACCCCATTTGAAAACCCTAGCCTCCACTATGCTGACAAGAACTTGATAATTAACTATAAATCGCGCACGAGTCAGATTAGCCGATGGACATCTGTTTTAGCTTGTATTATATCGAATACTAATCAACTCTTCATTATTCTGACAAAAACATTACGGCAAGATTGTCTGATATTAGATGTGTTAAGTGATGCTTTGCAATAATATAATTCAAATTATATTGCTCCTAGCTAAAGTAGTTCTAAACATGGTATATGCTTTGGGTTTGGTAAAAACAACTGCTTTGCAGCTTTAATTTAGTTGAAGTGTTCTTTTTAATTTTATCATATTATTCTCAATAATGTATTGTTCGAGACCAACTATGTTAAATAACTTGCACGCATTTAAAGTATTTATTTTGAATTATTGTTCACGTAAAATGGACGATCGATACATTTTTTTTTTCTTTTCATATCTGCTATATATACAATTAAACATAAGGTGCAAACTTATACGGATCTAGCAACTATTTTTTATATTACATGTATTAGTGCACCATGGATTGAAAAACTAATCCACATTAATCTCTTCCCTATGAATATGCATATGCTAATTTCTTAGTTAATGTGACAAATTAGAAGACCACAGTATTCCATTGCTTTTTAATTCCATTGTCCTTCATTTTTCTTTCTTTATCAAAAGATAGCTCATAATGTTTCTCACTTACAGGATGATGTGATCTGGCCTTGTGGTTCCAGCGATTATGTGATGTGGCCTCACTATTTTAACTGTGTGTGCATTTGATGCCTGATGCCTTCTTCATGACAAATTTAAACTATTTGCTCATACTTTTTTTGTGGTAGCCGTATAGGGATTTTATCTCATTTATTCTTTGTGTGAATTTCTCTTTAAATCAAGAAATTGATCATGAAAAATGTACCCTTTTGGCACATTTTGTATCTGTTTAATTCTTGTTAATGAAATCCCTATAAACTATCGTTGCTCGTCAAAAAAAATATCAACATATATCAGTCCAAAAAAGAGAACTAAAATTATATGCTGCTGCACCTAAACATATATCCTAATTATAGTTGCACTGATGTTTTTGTTATAAACAGCATAGCCACAATGGTAGGAATGAAGAGTCACACGTTGCTACACAGTGGTTAAATTATGAAAACCACAAGGTTCAAATTTGCATATCCAAAAGTGTGAGCATATTTATTCTCCACGTACGACTTTGTAACCAAAGTTGTGGCAAACAGAGGCCTGAAATCTCAGAAAGCAATCTCTTTCACATATCTTCACACCCCACCTCCTCCAACCTTATCCCTCAGTTTCATATCTTTTTTAGGGTTATATTATTTACATGCACGCTGCAGCCTCTGGCCCTAGCTTCTTCCTGGTCATTGGATTCCGCTGTGCTGATGAGTGTACCATGCAATTCAATGGATGACATGGACCCAAGCATGATCAATATCAGTGTTCAAATTATGGAGTAGGATTCTCATCCCTCTTTTTTTCCCTTTCCTTTCCTCCCCTCTTATTTGAACGGTCACGGTTAAGCTACGTCAATATCTTATATTACTTTTTTATAAAAAGAGAAAGACAAATTAGAAAATGTGAGAAAAGAGAATGTAAGGGGATGGAAAGAGAAAAGCAGAGAATCCTACTCCTCAAATTATTTCCGCATAATGTTTTCGGAAAAAAACATCAGAGTCAGTTCGAAAGAATTATCATAACAATTTCAGTTTGATAATTGATACCCAGTTTTGATTTTCGCAGAAGTTATCTGTCAGTAGTGAACTTGGCTCCATTGATAGTATTTGGACAATTGTTAGACCATTATACAAATCAAACTCAAGGTGTTTGATTTAAAATGTTTTTGGAATCCAAAATCAATTTTATTAAATATGCATTTAATCATTATAAAAGCACTTCCAAACGAACCCTATAGTTAGTTTCAAGTGCAGACGCATGTAAGAATATAGGAATTAGACTCATCTAGTGTAAGACCATAGCTTATCCTTTATCTTTTGTCAAATGTTTATCTTCTTATTTACAGCCAAATAAGTTTGGTCAAATGCTAATAGGAAATCTTATCTTTTATCCGAACAAGGTTGATATACTAGCTATTGGTTAGATTATTAACCTCTAATTTTGTGGAATTAGAATGATTAGAATTATTAACCTTGCCATTTTATTTTCAAAAGAAAAGTAAGTAAAGGGAAGACATAATATTTGGAAAATTCAATTTAAATTAAATCTCAAAATTAACTAATTTATTATCCATAAGTATGTGTAGTTCTAATTTTGACTTTACTTAATTTCTGTTATTTCACTGAAAATATATATAATATATTTATTAAGACTTCATTTTTCATCTTTTCATCCTTCTTTGTTCCCTCTCTTTCCTCTCGCTTCTCACCGAACTTCAACTCACAAAAGGTAATTAAAATGTTGACTAATTTGAAGAAAATTGCTATTGACATTCTAAAAAAAACTCATTTTGTACTCTACATTTTATAATTAGAAAAAAAATCACTTATAAAAAATGTAAAATATGATTTTTAAAGTCCTAATAGCGGTTCCTATTAAATAGCAGTTCCCCATCTAATTCTCAATATTTTTATTCTTTTAACAAAAATAAAGAAGAGTTAGAAGAAAGAAAGAAAACAAGTGTAGTTATCAATTCCGTTAAATGATTTGCATAATCCCAAGGCGGGGGTCCCCAAACGGTGAAGAGGAGTGTGGATAAAACGTGTGTTCCATCCGCCAATCAGAACGCAGAGAAATCAGAAATCCCAAACACCCCAACCCCCTCCCGAATTCCCAATTGGCAAGGGACTCCCACACAGAGAGGGAGAGAGGGTCAATTCTTTTGTACGCCCACCAAACCCACACCCTCCCCCCTTCTCTCTCAAATCCCAAATTAGAACCCAAAAATCCAAATCAATCGCCCAGCATTACTTCCTTCGGCTGCTCCAATCCCAATACCACACTCCTCCAATCTCTTCTCTTCTCAAAATTTTGAGGATTTTTGGAAGCGCCTTCTCGTTTCGGTCAATGGCGGTGTCGACCAGTTTCGCCGGAGCAAAGTTGGAGGCTCTGCTGTCGAGATCTTCATCGTCGGCTGCAACCACGTCGTCCACGGCCTCTAGCGGTTCCTGTTTGGTGGGTTCTGTGAGGCCCATTAGGAGTCGAAGGCTCCAAATTCAGAGAGGAGTGAGGTGCGAGGTGGCTGCTTCTTCTGATGCTTCTGCTGCCGCGGTTCAGTCCATCGCTTCCAATATCTCCGCTCTTGAGCAGCTCAAGACCTCTGCCGCTGACAGTACGTTTCTCTTTTCCCATTAATATCCTTCTGCTTTGTTTTTTTTCCTATTGAATTTATTAATTTTTTTGTGTGTTCTCTAATGGGTTTGTGTTGGAGTTGATTTTTCTTCTTGCAGTTGTGGGTTTTGTGAATGTATTTGTTCCAAATAATGTTAATGCATGATGGGTTTTGTGTAATGTTGATGGTTTTTTATCCAATATATATGTACTCAAATTTTTGGAGATTGTCTGGGTTTAGAATTGCTACATAGAAAGTCCAGTTTGGGATTTTTCTCATTTTCCCAAGCATCGTTTCGGTATGAATTTTGAATGCAAGAGAAATCACAGCCATACAACGTGTCTGTAATTCGGGGTTGGTATCGTATCTCATATGTACTTCTGAATGTATTATCTTTTACCCCCACCTCTTTTACCTGCGGTTCTATGATTCAGATGCTTTTGATGACCGTAGGATAATGTTTGGTTTGGTTGTGTTCATGATTCAAGGTTGTTTTCATACTTTATATAAGAATCTGTTTGGCGTACTTTTTTTGTGTATTTGTAATGTTGTCTAACTAAAGTTCCACTATTTTTCTTCTCAGGATACACAAAGGAAAGAAGCAGCATTGTGGTCATCGGACTTAGTATTCACACAACACCCGTTGAAATGCGTGAAAAACTCGCCATTCCAGAAGCAGAATGGCCTCGAGCCATAGAGGAGCTGTGTGGTTTAAATCACATAGAAGAAGCAGCTGTTCTTAGCACTTGCAACCGAATGGAGATATATGTTGTAGCTCTATCTCAGCATCGTGGTGTCAAAGAAGTTACCGAGTGGATGTCAAAGGTACTTTCCGTTTCTTTATGTGTTGTTTGTGGTATAAATGACAATAACCGACTCTTTTGCATGTGTATTGTGACATGGATAAGTCAATCATCTTATTTGACATTGGAGAAAATGTTTTTTTATTTTTTATTTTTGATTCCTTTCTTTGAAACGAAAAATTACACTCAATTTCTTTGTGGGTTACAGTTTGAGCCTGTACGGTTTTTCCTTTCTCCGGCTTATGAAAAGAGTATCCTGAATTGATCATGATCATTTCTTGCTCCAAAACATTACCTGACACTCTTTGCTTTGTTTGCAGACAAGTGGAGTCCCTGTTTCTGAGCTATGCCAACACCGGTTTTTACTCTATAATAAAGATGCCACTCAGCACCTCTTTGAAGTATCAGCAGGTCTTGACTCTCTTGTCCTCGGAGAAGGTCAAATTCTTGCCCAGGTGAAACAAGTTGTTAAAGTCGGCCAAGGAGTTGTTGGCTTTGGTAGAAACATCAGTGGGCTGTTCAAGCACGCAATCACTGTGGGAAAGCGGGTTAGAACTGAAACAAACATTGCTGCTGGGGCAGTTTCTGTAAGCTCTGCTTCTGTTGAACTTGCCTTGATGAAGCTTCCTGCACCATCACATGCTACTGCAAGAATGTTGGTGATTGGTGCGGGCAAAATGGGAAAGCTTGTGATCAAACACTTGGTAGCAAAAGGTTGCACAAAGATGGTTGTTGTGAATAGAACCGAGGAGAGAGTGGCATCCATCCGTGAGGAGCTGAAGGGTGTTGAGATCATTTACAAGCCTCTTACAGAAATGCTTACCTGTGCAGCAGAGGCAGATGTGGTTTTTACCAGCACCGCATCAGAAACCCCATTATTTTTCAAGGACGATGTGAAGGACCTTCCTGCTGTAGGTCCAGAGACTGGTGGTTTGAGGCTTTTTGTTGATATTTCCGTCCCTCGGAATGTGGGTTCATGTGTTGCTGATGTCGATGGTGCTCGAATTTACAATGTTGATGACCTTAAGGAGGTTGTGGCTGCTAACAAAGAGGATCGCCTTCGGAAAGCAATGGAAGCTCAGGAAATTATTACTGAAGAATCGAAACAATTTGAAGCTTGGAGGGATTCTTTGGAGACAGTACCTACCATCAAGAAATTAAGAGCTTATGCTGAAAGAATCAGAGCTGCAGAGCTTGACAAATGTTTATCAAAAATGGGTGATGACATATCAAAGAAAACAAGAAGAGCTGTAGATGATCTTAGCCGAGGTATTGTGAACAAGCTCCTTCATGGTCCGATGCAGCACTTAAGATGCGATGGGAGTGATAGTCGAACTCTGAGTGAGACACTTGAGAATATGCATGCTCTTAACAGAATGTTCAGCCTTGAGACAGAAATATCCGTATTGGAGCAAAAAATTCGAGCAAAGGTGGAACAATCCCAGAAGTAAAGCTACAACATCCAATTTCTTTCGCGACACATCTACTTCCTCAAACTCGAATAAGGGGAAAACATTCTCACATTGTCATTTTAGCGTTCCCTCTGGTGAAATCTTCAATTCCATAGACAAATTGTGTTGGTCCCAGCTGGTCTGGGCGACCTTCCAATTCATTCATTGGTGTAAGACACTAACCTGATTCTTATCTTCGTAAGTGGCTGTTCGGCTTCGTATCGAAATTCTGAGGTTATCTGTACTAGTGTTAATTCTTGTAATTAAAAGTAATTTGAGATGAATATAGATTGCAATTCATAATTTTGTCGAGATTATTGTCCAATTGTGTCTCATTAGTTGGTGAAACACCGAAACCCGTACCATTGGTATATTGGGCAAAATATGAAACTATTGCTGTTTCCGGTCACTGTCATCACTATCAATTTGGTTCCTTCCGGTGAGGAGCCTTACGTGATCACCTGGATGGCCGATTCTCTTGTGCGTACCAATTTTTGTGGACCAATGGTGTGAACCAAGTTTAGCCGTTGGATTTGATGTGAACGGCTCACAACAAAACTGAGCTCATTAGTGGGTCCAGGTCCTAAATGACCTGTGAATTATACGGGTCTATAGGGCCCGGTTCTACTGAAAGACTCAGCTGATCATAGTCGTTCGATCTTCGTCCGCACAGTTGGTCCACAGGAGAGAAACGCTCTCACTTGGATGGCCTCGTCAAATGTTTATGGCTGTGTCTCCGTTAGGAAGGCTATAAATAAAGGTCCATAAGACCATCTTCAATCGAAAGGGCTATGCTTAACCTCAATCCAGATTATAATCATGCAAAAAATTATTTTTTAATAAACATTGCCATGACATGTTTATATACCATTTCTAACCGAAGGGGAGCTAAAAATAACCCCCTCAATAATTTATTATTTTAAGTTTGTTCTTTAATTTTATTGATTAATTAAATTAAACTACCATATTAAAATAAAATTTTCAGACATATTAAAATAAGATTTCCGGACATATTTTGAGTGTCACTTGAAGATGTGGCCGTTTGAAAATTATTGAAAAAATTAAAGGAAAAATTATTGGAAGCGATAAGAGAGGGGTATGTATGAAAAAAGTGTTTGAGATGAATATAATGTGAACAATTGAAATAAAATAAGGTAAGATAGTATGAAGTGGTGAAAAGAATATGAGAAATGGTGTAGAAATGTCTTAGGTATTTATAGGAAAAAAGATTAGAAATTTTAATTTTTTTTTTAGGGCAAATCTCAGTTTACTACCCTCATATTTTGTGGTTTTCAACATTTAGTACATCAAGTTTTTTTTCGTCCTAGCGTCATACCTAAAGTGTTAATTTTGGGATAGTCTCATACATCCGTTAGTCAAATTGTCAAATTTGCTGTTAACTGATGACGTGACGCCTATGTGGGGCACCACGTGTCATTAAGGGGTCCACGTGGAATTTTTTTTTTTTTGGAGAAGGGGTTCAAAAATAAAAAAATAAAAAATAAAAAAAAAACCCTGTCTTCTACCTTCCCTAATCCCCTGCACCCTTTACCTCTCTTCGCTCTTCTGCAACCTGCACCCTTTCCCTCCCTTCTCTCTTCTACAACCTGCACCACCCTCCCGTCTCTCCTCCTTCCTCCCTTATCCCTCCATTCTCTCCTCTGCACCAACCCACCAAACCCTCATCTCCTCTACACCACCCTCCCTTCTCTCCACTGAATCAAAACCCTAATTTAAAACCAAAAAAAAAAAAAAAATCCTCAACATTTGCAACTACCAAACAAACAAAAAATGCACAATTCGAAGCAAGATTCATAATTGACACCAAATTTTACCCTAAATCACAAAACAATAAATTTAAAAATTAAAAAGACTGAGAATCGAATGAAAGAATGCATGCGACGAAATTGACTAGCAGAGCACGGAGGTGTGAGAACTCAACGGTTCATAGAGAGAGAAAGATAGGAGAGAGAGAGAGAAGAGAGATATTGCGTTTGGGTGGAAGATGAGAAACCTTAAAAGGCTATATAGAGAGAGCTAAAAGACGAAGCCGTTATAATTTCGATGGTATTTTACATGAAAATTATAATCTAGATAAGTGTGTAGGAGAGTTCGCTGTGGGGATGAAGAAGACGATGGTGGCGTGGCGAGAGGAGCGCCGTTTGATTTCGCGAGGAGGAAGATGGGAGGGGCAAAATGACGAAAAGGGGCACTGAAGCGGGAAAGAGGAAAAAGAGGGCTTATGCTTGTGGCAGCGTAGAGGTAGAAAAGAAAGCAATAGCAGAGAACAGTCGAACACAGAGAGGAGATGAAGGTTTGGTGGGTTGGTGTAGAGGAGAGAATGGAGGGATAAGGGAGGAAGGAGGAGAGAAATGAGGATGGTGCAGGTTGTAGAAGAGAGAATGGAGGGATAAGGTAGGAAGGATGAGAGGAGGGAGGGTGGTGCAAGTTGTAGAAGAGAGAAGGGAGGGAAGGGGTGCGGAAGAGAGAAGGGAGGGAGAGGGTGCGGGGGGATGAGGGAGAGAGAGGGTGCCCCGGGGGGGGGGGAGGTAGAAGACAGTTTTTTTTTTTTTTTTTTTTTTTTTGAACCCCTTCTCAAAAAAAAAAAAAAAATCCAAGTGGATGCCTTAATGACACATGGTGCCCAGTCATTGTCTACATAGGCGCCACATCATCAGTTAACAACAGGCTTAACAGTTTGACTAATGGATGTACGAGACTGTCCCAAAATTAACACTTTAGGTATGACTCTAGGATAAAAAAAACTTGATGTACTAAATGTTGAAAACCACGAAACATGAGAGTTGTAAACTGTGATTTACCCTTTTTTTTAATTTCGTCTAAAAAAAAAAAATAATAATAAGCCAACTGGGCCCAATTGAATGGGCTGGCTGGCTAAGGATTTGGATTTTGGCCTGTTGGGTTCCAAGGTTTTTTGATCCAGACCTCCATTGGAGATTGGTTTTGGGTTGAAAATGTTATCCTTTGGCCTATAATGGCCGGTCCGGTTGGAGATAACCTAATCTTCAAACTGTAGATTTCAAAGTCACTATTTTATATGTTTTAGGATTTTATTAAAAAAAATGAAAGAATATCAGAAAAAATACATTGTTACTTGAAAATGAGCAAACGTAAGTGGATATAGTAGAATTTTCTATAATTATTATAAATCCAATGCAATGAGATAATAGGTCTGGCCGAATGAGTGAATAATCCTAGCTTCCTGCCAGTTACCTCCTTTTTTTTTTTTTTTTTTTGTTAAAAGATAAAAAGAACAAGAAATAATAGGCATATAATTGGTTAAGTGGTAGATCACGGGATCGTTCTCTAGTCTCTATCCTACTGTAGGTACCTCGGAGACTCTGCCATTTCCATCACTGAAAACGTATACACGATTGCAACAAAAATTCTCCAATCTAATGAATCCAGACTTCAAGATGAGAACCGTAACCGCTGGGTTGCTCTTCTTGATTATCTCTGCAGCCTCCGACGCAGGCTTTCCAATTAGTTCAGGCCAAACATATTTGAAATCTGGAAATAGTGAAAATTAACGGCATTCAAAATTCTAAGTGCGTATTTGATATATAGTAAAACAAATAATAAAAAAAAATGAAAGTAGTGGAAAAGAGAAAGAAGAAACCTTGACCACAACATGCAGCATTTGTACAATCTTCGCTGACACAAGGTGGGTAATGAGGCCAAGATGCTCCAACCATTTTCTTTTGATTTGTTGTGGTTTGATGCATATGACCTTCTTAAATTGTGTGTGTGTGTGTGTATATATATATGCATTGGTTTTCTTAGAAAGGGGTACTGTATTCTCCGGTAGCTAAATGAATTTGTTAATTTTATAATTTGGATAGATAAATATGATTTTTTTTATTTTTTTTAACAAAGGACTGGGCCAAGCCTCACACTTGACTAGCCATAATATTGTGGTTCAAATTCATTTTTACGAAAATTAAATTTAAAATTTCTCACTTACCTAGTAAAGTAAAATACCACGAGACTGTAGTATTAAGTGACATAAATATGATTAATTAGCTTACCGTTTTAAGAAACACAACACATGCTTGCATTTGTTGGATTTTTTAGTCAAAGGAAATGAGATTTCGAAGGAAAATTACACAGGTGAGGTCACGGGTCTACAATCCCCAAATTAGTGTCTCGTATGTATATAATTTTCAACTTTTTTACATCTGTCTTCAACTTAACGCCAAACTTAAGTGGTAATCTTTCCAAAGATTAATTAAAAAAAATCAAAACTGATAATTAAAGAAAAACAAAAACCAACAGCTGCGAAATCTAGGTGTGGGCACGGTGCGGTTTCATTCTCAAAGGGGAACTGGAATTGAAAAATATCAACGGTTAAGTGCGATTCCGCTTAAATTTAGGGAAATTGTATTTGAACCCAGATAACCTCTTTCTACACCTAGCTTACTCTCCACACCCATATTATTTTTTACTAAACTGTAAATATCTTTTTAAACCAAAATTTATTACCTAAACTACCCTCACAAACCCAATTTTATATATAAATTTATATTTATACCCATTCAAAAATTAAAAACCACATAAATTCATTAAACTTTTAAACTTTCTGGGCTGAAATATTTTCTTATGCAATAACGTACCTGGGAAGGATTTCTCATGCATCGAGTGATATTATCAATCAAAATAGCCTTTTGGATTATTTGTCTCAATGTAGTAGATCCCTAGGAACATGTATATGCCGTAGAGTTCAACAATTTTTTATTTGAAAATGATGGTTCAACCTATAATCGTCTAGTAACAACTGTTTGGTTCTGTTGAAACCTCTGAAATTGTGTCTCCAATAATAAAGAATCCAAGGGAGGTAGGAACTTCACTTGTCGAATACCAGCTAGAGGTGCATGATGAAATGACTGTCAGTGAATGTTGTTCTTGCAAAGGCGAAGGATATCTGGCCAATTGTACAATCGGGATTTATGAATGAAGTGTCGAGGACTTTAAGGTAACACATTATTTTCTATCGTTAATCCATTGACAATTTGTTTTCCCTAAAACAGGAGAGAATAGACAAAATAAAAAGAAAACTAATGAAAATAGTTTGAAAACTTTAAGTTTTAACGATAAGGACAACAAATGAATAGTTACATGATTGATTTTTTAGTGTAAAAAAAGTAATTTTTCATTAAAGTAAATAATACCGGAAGCGTTTCGTTAAAATTTCCCAAAATAAAACAGGATTTTCCCTTCAGGCACCAGAAATATATGCATGCTTTGAGATTATGCATTTATAGCATCTAGTTGGGAGACTGAGCTGGTTTAAC